AGAGACTTGGGCAGAGCTTTTGTCTAGAGCTACCCTTATTAATACGGATTTATAACGTGTTCCATGTATTGCTGTTTATTAAAGACCCTGCTGACCCCCTGCTAGGCTAGGAATATCTATAGCCTTTGCCAGTGGAAACAGAAGGAGAGGAGGCATGAGAGGTTGAGGACATAGTTAACGTCAAGCAAGTAAGCAAGGCCTAGAAGGTGCAAGCCAAGTAGGTAGGTTGGCCAGAGGACCTGACTTACTACCTTATTACAAACTTTAAGGACTTTGAGGACCTGCTTAGAGATTATTTCGAAAGGCACCTAACGAAAAGAGCGCCTGATTAATTAAATTAAAGCTAAGTACAGAAAAATCTAATAAAAATATTACGTAATAAATTTAGCTATATATATATAGCTAAATTTTGGACTAACCTAATTAGAAAGTTGCTAGACTTAGTAACAGAATTTAAGAGGAGTAAGCTTATTTTCTTATACTCTTGATTAAGAGTAATCAATTTTTTAGAGAGGGAGGTAATGTAATAAATAGAGTATCTCCTCTGCCATAGCGCAGGAAATACACAGGACCAGCCACACACTCGGATAGCAGCGCTGATGACGTATCCACAACAGCACACGGAACTCTTGCCGTCAAGCTAGATACTTATCTTTAAAAGTCTCTTAACTAGATTAGAATTATTTATTTAGAAGGCTACTAGTAGACTTAGCTAGATTTGAAACTCTAATTATCCTTAAGTAATCTAATAAAGACAAAGTAAAGACAGCTAAAGAAGAAATTAATAAAAGTAGTTACTATTTTAACATAGGATTAATAATAAAATATTCTTAAGACTTAGTAAATAATATTTATATTTAAACCTTAAAGGATACATTATCTTTTTACTACTATTATTTATAATTTAGATTATACTCTAAACTGCTATATCTAAAGATAATTTGCTTACTTTAAGTTAAGAATATATAATTATTTATATTACACTTTTATTTACTTAGAATTACTAAGCTAAGAAGAGACGCCTAATAATATAATAGTTATATAACCTACTTAGAAATATATTATGCTTTAACCTATTCTTAGATATACTTTTTAAGTTAGTCTTTAACTTTATAAGCATATTTAAAATACTTATTATAGTTCTAAAGAGTACATCTTAAGTAATACTTAATATAGAGAAGTACTTTAAGATTAGTAGACGCTTATAAATAAGTGACTAGTAATATTATAACATATATATTAATCACTAAAGCTGAAGAGCTCAAAATTAGAGAAGAGGTAGAAGACATTGTCTGAATAAATCTTCAATCAAGTATAATAGATTTGATATACTTGTGAGTGTGCAGTTGACAAAGTCACCCCTTCAGAGAATTTGGTGTGTAATAGTCACCCATGTAATGGTCACCCGCGCTAGCACTTTTGAACGCTAAGACCGTCAATTTGTGTGTGTAAGGGTCACCCTTACACGGCTTTATAATGTTAGGGATTCTCAGCAACTTTGATATTGTGTCAGTACGACTCGGCTTCATTAATCTTGATTAACAGCCAGCTGCTATTACACTACTTTACCGCACCGGAATGCGCACATTATATGTATACATAGACCATTTTAAGGCTTCATAACCTCATAAACGAATGTGCTTAGCTATCTAAGAAAACACTGTCCTCCAAAAAACGGCTATATCCGCAGCTTAATCATCAAGTGCCTAAGCGTCCTACAGCAGTTTGTTGTAAATTCACCGGGAAAGGAGCCGTTGCTCAAGCTTCGCCCACCAATTCCGCCAATTGACAATTTTCCTTCCGAGTCGAGCTTCTTCAGCAGCAAAGACCATAGCATGGCTCATGAATGCCTCCTTCAAGGTGCAGCTAACGTATTTTGCTTGTGCCTGCTCTACGCTGAGTTCGCCTTTAATGACAGCCTCTACGGCCTTCGAGAAACTGTTCATCAGACCACCATTACCACCGTCATGACCTTCTGCTGTCTTTGGGGGAGTGAATATCTTCGCCGCTTCCGGTTGCAGGAATTTGTCGAATGTGTAGACTTGAATCTCCTTGCTATTGTAATGTATTCCTCCATGGATGCCCGAGATTTTACCCCGCTGCTCACACTGTGCTTCCGTGAAAGCGACCATATGGAAGACTGCTGTATTGGGACCGCGGTCAGGAACTTCCTTACCACTGACAGAGCGAGAGTCGTCATCCCAGGTCAGGGCAACAATTTGATCGTCAAGTACATCGTTGTCGGACTCCCACACGCAACGACCACACCATTGCTTAGACTCGATGGTGGCTCTTGGTGTAGAGACGTTGTAGTCTGAAGAAAGGATTTGAGTCAGTACCGCACGCCCGTACTCGGTCCCGGCTTTGGCAGTGATTTCCTCAATATCCGGGACGACGAGACACACGGAAAAATCTTTATGTCCTTGTCATACAGCTTCTCGATATACATCTTCTTGGCACTTTAGTTGCAGCTCTGTTCGTGAGAGCATGAGAAGCAATTAGTAGCGTTTCCAGCTGCCTCGGGTTTTCTACGCTTGGTGAAAACTGACAAGTTGCCCACTGATGATACCAGGCTAGGCATATGCACCGGCTCGGCGAAGTCCGTCTTATAGCATAGTAGCCACAGTATGAAGTCGATAACATGACAAGACTTGCAAAGTAGTGATGGGGCGGCAATGGACTCCTTTCGCCAATTGCCTCGTACATAAGAGTGTGAGAAATGGAACCAACCGACTGGCTCTGTATGCTCGATCGAAATGAGCTCCCCAATCGTCCTATCTTCCAGCAGAAGCTTCCTTAAAAGCATGTTGTGCGGACTGTATCGTAGGACATGACCGGTCGAGAAGATCTTGTCTTAGACTCTTAGCTCCGCCGAGGCTAACATATATATCCTGACAGCCCTGAAGAGTCGTTGCAATCGGCTTCTCACAAAGTACATGAAATCTCAACGAACCGAACGCCTGCAGGATTCCCTTGTGCGTCCGGTCCTGGGTGCAGAGAATAATCCCGTGAACCCCAGCACATACCTTCTCGCCGGTAGCTTCAGTTTCTCGTCGGCTCCTCTCGTATCTGAGGAACTGCTGCCACGAATCGAACTGTTGGTCCTCCCGTGGTGCTTCATCCTTCCAAATATATTTTCACCCAAACGAAATCCGTTTTGACCGGATAGGATCCGCGATTGCAGCAATGATAGCTTGTAATCCCTCTCGTCCTACAGCAGACGCATAGGCGGTTCCACGCTGGCCCGCATCAATGACAAGGAATCGGGGCTTGCGGCGGTTAGTAGAGTAAAGGCGCCGAAGCTGTCAATCTCTCTGCATCGATGTGTGTTGACTCGGCCATGTTGAGCTGGTCAGTAGATCCAAACACCGACTTCGAATGTCGGGCGGTGCTGTTTGTCTGAATATAAACACCATCACAGCCACCATCCGTCCAATTTAGATTTTGAGTGAATTGTCATGCGTGACCAGAGCTAACGGTGTCCTGCACGCCCACTTCTAGTGCTTAACGCAACCAAACGACAAACGACAGAGCTTGTCTTGTCCAAACACTACAACACGAGGGTAGAAGTTTGACCCCCTGGTCGCTGTTTCAGGAGAGGTGTCATTGTTCGTAATCTGGATCATGGCCGCTACGGAGCCGAAGTGCGGAGTAACTCAATTAGGAAATCTAAGATCTCCAAGCGTTCCAAGCGTTTCCAATTCCCTTCGTTGCTTGATGTTCCTCCAGAAGTTTCAGGCAAGCTTTAGGCTGTAGGCACTCACCATGAATTGGCGCCAAATGCCGTCTACCTTGTTCGAGGAAATGCGTTTGAAGTTCAAGTGACATGAAACCGCATCATAACATTATCTCAAAGCTGGAACTATCAACAGCATTGCCATCGCCGTCTTAGCGGGACATGAAATGATCCATAGCTGAGGCTTATGTCTTCCCTCTTGAATCTAGCTACTTGGAATCTCAGTTCGCAGATAGAGCTCTCAATGCGAGCTTAACGTCTCAGTCTCGGTGGTAAGAATAAATAGTTGATCATGTCTGCTGCCAGTGTGGAGACTGCATCCAGCAAGACCTGGGTTTGTTTTAGTCTATCGTCCTTTGAATTGTGCCTCTTGTGCGTTCGCTCCTTCTCTTGCATACTGAGTAGCATTATTGCTGGCTGGTCCATCTTACTTTTCATAGTCATACTGACTACTTTCTACCCATCACAATCTTTACCCTCTCTATATCATGAAGATTGATTTCATCCTTTCCTTTGTTGCTCTCTTAGCACTAGCTGCTGCTCGACCTATCCCCAAGGAGGCCAAGCTACTTCGCCGTGAAGTTCCGCAGGAACACTCCCACGAACAGTTCATCACCACTGTCAGGGCCTCACTGAACCTCAACAACCCAAATGGCTTTGGAGATCCCGTTTTCGCACTCCTCGGGAACGAAGTACGTGTTCGCACTGGATCTCGTTTCCTTGTAGTCCCCTTCTTCGTACAGAACTAATCACGGATTATGCTCTACAGGCCGCAGCAGAAGGCCTAGGACAGCTTGCCGACGTTGAATGCCTCCAGCAAGCTATAGCGGACCAAGCGTTCACCAATGCCAAAGCTGCCAATGATGTCCAGGGTATGGCATCTGCTCTTATCTACCGCGCGCTGGAGCGCAACACAGCCAAAGTAGGCCAGGTCTCTAACACTTGCACTTCCATTCAAGCCATCAACCCAGAGATTGCCGTGCTTCAGCAGCATCAGGATCCAGCATCACAAGGAGCGGCGGAAGGAAATAAAGCCATCGTTCTTGAGCTCGCGAAGCAGATCTCCGCTATTGGAGGCGATCCTCAGGAGGCACTTAAAAGTGGAACCTTTCAGCCAGGAGACTTGGCCGATGCATCAGGCAAGGGAAACACTTGTAAGTGCCCTGCCATAAGAGAGTTCCCTCTAGGTACTACGAAGAGAAGAATGAAGAGGAGTTATCGTTGGGTCTGAAGTGATGGCGGAGTTGGCTAACATTCGCTTGACGAACAGGCGACGACCTAAATGATCCCGAGGGTTGCATATTCACGCAAAACCTCCTTGTCGAAGATGCCACGGCGGACGAGATCACTGCCGTTGTCGGAGGGGCTACTGGTGGAGGTTTTGCTGCTCCTGGTATCGATCCAGCAGCTGCCGCAGCTTCTGTTTCTGCTGCTGATACAAATCCAGCCCCGGCTACCAGTACGGGTTCTGGTATGGCTGCTGGTGGAGATTTCGCTGCTTCTACTGTCGATCCAGCGGCTTCCGCAGCTTCGGTTTCTGCTGCTGATACGAATCAAGCCACGGCTACTGACATGGGTACTGGTATGCCTGCTGATACGAACCCAGCCACGGCTACCGATATGGGTACTGGTATGACTGTTGACGCCGCCGCTGTTGGTATCGCTGTTGATACTGCCGTCACTGTAGCTTCCGAAATGGCTGTTGATATTGCTCCCGAAATGGCTGTTGATATGGCTGCAGAGATGGCACTCGACATGGCTGCAGAAATGAGAGTTGATATGGCTGCAGGATCCGGTAATGCCCAAGGAGCGCAACAAATAGCAACTCAACCAGTAGCGAACGCCAACCAACAAGCCAACACCGGAACTGTCCAGAATAACACCACATCTACCGCTGTCCAGGCAGCAGACGTCCCCCTTGCCGCCGCTGGAGGCCAGAACGGAACAGCAGCAACCACACAAACAGGAGCAGCGGCGGCAGCATCTGCAGGTCTTGATTTCGGCTCCTGTCCTAACGCGGGTATCGTCTTCGGCCCTGGTTTCGATGGTCGCAAGGAAGATTCCTTCCAGCCAGCGGATACCACACAATTCACCCATGGTTCCGCGCAGAGTATGTTTTCATCCCCTCTGAATCAATTCTTTGCACTTGAGATACAGCCGTCCATTTCTATCATTATAGTCTGGCTGACCGTGGGAAACGCATAGACATTGACATCATCACCGACTTTATGTGCGACCGATTTGGCGACCGGTGTGGAGCCAACGAGGCGACGAATGCGGCATGCATGGCTGCCACAGCGGCGACTAAGGGCAAGACAGGGCAGGCTGCCGGTATGTCCACCGATTCCCTTGACAGTTTTCTCATGTACCGGTCCCTGTGCACTCCTCCATTTATTTGTTTCCCTCTTTCCATAACGGCACCGGGCATTCGTCATCACCACTTCCTTGATGCGGTGCGAGAGATTTGCTGACTATGGCGTTAGCAACGGCATGGAATGAGGCTTTGGGGCTTACCAACGTCCCGAACCTCACTGGTGCATAAGTCCCTAGCTATCCATCGAATTGCGCTTGCATCAAGCAGAGAATCGCGACAAAACCATGTGCAGGATCGCATGGCTGTAAAATTACTCCGTGTTTGAAAGTAATCAACTTCAAGACCTGCACAGAGATAACTAATCTTAGTATCAATTTTGCGCCATCCGCAGCCTAAAGAATTCCATAGTAATCTTCAACTTGTTTCTGACAGTTGTTGCTCATGACAAGTGGACTTGTGGTAGACTTCCCGATCGTGTCTCAAAGTCAAAACTTTTTTGTGGGATTTCCTTCTATGGATCCAAAAATGTTCCCATGAGCGATAACCAGCCAAATTCGTTTCGCAAGCTACATGTCATGCTCATGCAGTCCATTCCGCTGCCACAAGAAAGCACCGTAGTGCAACATGTCACCATATATGAACAACGGACGAGCTCCGTCACATCTCCGGACAAGTATCATGGTCGAGCCAACTGATCATTGTGCCCTGTTTGTAAGAAGCGGAACGTTGGCTTATCGTACTAGCATTAGGGAAGGCAGCGTCGCTGCATCACCTCGGTCAAATGTCTCTTCGGCAAGAACTGATTTCTTGAGTCCGAATCAGGGCAGCAAATTTTCAATCTGCCACGGCATGATATTGACCTCGATTCGATGCACTGTGCTCAATTTCCAAAACGGTATATCAACTTATGTCTTTGGCATCGATCACGAAAAATGGGCATTTCTGGAGATGCTTTCTGCGAACCGGATGCATCGTGTCCAACAGTCAGAAAAACAAGATCCCTTCGAAGATAAGCAACTTAATGAGCCGAATAGACGTTTATGCCAACGCATGTGACAGCTCCATACTAATTCGGAAGGAGTGAAGGGATATGGGTCTTCAGGAATTACTGTCAGGAGAGCAAAAGTGAGGCTGGATCTCAACAGCTGCTTCTGAAAGCTTTGTTGATTGGGAGTGTTCTAGCTGCATCAACCGTGAGTGGGAAAATCGCAAACACATACAAGGAAACCGAAGCTTGACGTATCTATAATGCGGCTGGGTATACCGATCCTCCTGGTGCCGGAGCAGGAAGTAGGTGGCTGTGATGGAGAGTGCGAGGCTCGAAGTGAGACAAGCTTATTCAACCACAGGGTACGTATGAACTTGAAGTATAGACGATGAGATCTGCGTGGATTCCACAAGAACTCTATGGTAGCTTTATGATGAGCCAGGTAACCATTTTTGCTTAAAACTTTGCCCAAGCCCTCTTCCGGCTCCGAAGAGAGGATGTAGGAAGTGCGTGTTCGTGATCGACCTGGTTGTACATGCTAGCTTCGTGTAAATTCGACACAACGACCACAGTTCCATCAATAGTGAAAATAAATGGTATTATTTTCCACACTGTGTCAGAGGCTGGCAAACTGTCGCATAGGCCTTAAACATATAAAGCAATAACCGTTATCCTCCAGTCAAAGTTCAGCAAGTACTCGGTGGTTGATGGTGGCTCTGGCTCGAAAGAGCCTAGGACAGCTAGCGCTGTGCGGATTCTAACCAGCCAAACCCATTCACGGTTTTAAGAATTGTGATCAACCTTATACCTGATGAGTGATGCTTATAGCCACACCGGCTTGGTGGAAGAGGGGAGGCAGAAGCGGCGAGGGTGATAATTGTAGCCATTCATCAACCGTAAGGCACCACCTTTTCATGAACAGTGTCAGGGGTTCAGGATCCAAAAACTGGACTTTCGCTCTCCCTCATCTTCCATAGCCTTAATCCCGAGATCATACCTTTCTAGCTTGTGAAAGGCTTTTAATGTCGTGATAGCCGACCTGAGCATTGTTGAAGCATAGTCAGGAGAAGTGAGTGATAGTGTCATGATGGACTCCCAGGCTGCACCACTTATCATGAGCAAACCTGTGAATGTGGTGCTCTGCTAGAGCTGATGAAAAGGTCCCTTGAAGTGGTCGAATCGTATCGGGATGATTATACGTCACAGCACTTCGTACTCGATTTTTGTTTCATTGCCCCTACCTTGACACGGAACTTGGAATGATAGTGAAGATGGCGTCATCTATGTCTCTAAGGTTCTCCCTAACGAGGTGATATGCCTCTACATATCAAAGCATTACCACTACCGAAGCCGTTATAGCAAACAGACCTCAGATTACACCATGGAGCGAAAAGTGAAACCATTCTGCAGTCCACTACCAGGTTGGGCAAGAAGCTTTTTAACGCTGTAAGAATGATGATATGAGCCTATCATTCTTAAGCCATAGCTTTCGAAGGACATCAGACATGGTTGACCCGCCTTTCCGGCCAAGCACATCTGCTGAACCTGAACGCATTGCCCAGCTGCACAGGTCCTAGACTGCAATGAGGCAAGCAACGCCGATTTTGATTGACATTATTGAAGTGGCTGACATAGGTCACCGATAAGCATTCGTCGTTGGTGAGGCAAATGTGGGAGATGGATGGAATGTAGGATGAATGGATTCAAGCGGAGAGTTGTCTGCCGAATGATGCCTCGTATGATTAGTCGAGTTAATCGCGGTATTGGAATATGGCGGAAAGAAGTGGTCATACGAGAAATGTGTTGGAGACAATTCAGGCAACTGCGGCTGAACAGGAACCAGTAGATTCTCCGGATGAAATGCTTGATATGCATTCAATAGACCTTTGGGTACGATTGAGCCGTTGAAAGTGTCAAGATGGCGAGCCGAAGTAGTCGGCGTGGAAATGCTACCGATATTGTTTGGATTGTGGTCCACGGGTGAGAAGAATTCCTCAAGCGACATGATCGGATATTCAAGGGCGCCTCCTCGTTCACGATGACTCCAACAACCTTGGCAGTTACACTTTGGAGGACAGTCTTCATGTGCATAACCACTCATCACTAACTGCTGCTTAATAACCGGGGCCACCCTCCATGTAATGCAGCCAGGGCATCTGCAAGTAATGCCGCAACCACCTCTTGGATATTGACCAGAGTACACTTGGTAGTGATAATTTTGATCATCTAGTGGTATCGTGGATAGCATTGCTTGCTGTCCCGCTTCGGTATTGTCTGAGGTGCAAGCGTAGGAGATCTCTGCCGTACCTCCACAACCCTGAGACGAAGACTCGACAACCTGCTGTTCCGGCTGAGGCGTCGAGTCCGTTGGTCGATTCCGGTTTGCCAAGTATTGGTTGTGGTCGTGCGTGGCCTGATTGTCAGGATGCTCTGGACAATATGTGCAGGCGCAAGTATCTCCACAGTTACATTGATGCCCTGATGCACCCTCGCTCGAGGCAATGAGAGTGCCGCCATGATCTTTCCCTTTGCAATCCTCTCTCAATGGCTTTATGACCGTTCCCACAATCCGGCAATTGTTCTCCCCTTCTTTCCCTGGTTCGATCTCCGACTTTGGTATTCGTACAACTAAGTACCATGTCTTGACACATGTACAACGGTCGGAGGACGGGCACCTGCATTTTGACGTTGTATTTGGACGACCAGCTCGATTTGTCTTTTGAAGTAGACTGGGATTGCCGTTGTCATCGACCAAGTGTGTACAGGTTCCAGTCCGATGTCCCTTCCTGCATTTCTCACAAGTGTAGCGTTGGCCATCTACCATTATTGCTTGCTGCTTTTTCCCTCCCTGGCTTTTGCAACAGCCACTCGATTTGGCATTCATGTTCGCGATTCAAAATGTGCTTAAAGTGTGTCTATGTTGGCCAAGTGAAAAGACCCTCAGTGTCAACAGCGATGTCGGAGTTGGGTAGAATGGTACTGCGAAGCTGTTGGAGAAGGCTAGATCTCGCCAATACTCCCGTAGGAGTTACAAAGGATGGGGAAGCATAGTAAGTAGTGGTAGGCAAATGCAGGACAGCTTCCCGCTAATTGGTCTGCAAAGACCCAGAGCATGGATGGCAAACGAAGTAGTAGGACAAAAGATGCAATTCAGCCGCGGCCCCTCCTCGGAGATGATATGTACAAGCCTTACACATGTAACCCCACGTGGGAACCTACGCTAAGGAAATATTTGGGAAGCTCCACACTTTGTAACCAGTGTCGAGCATCCCAGTGTGCACAATTGTCATGCCGGAGGAGAATGAGGAGTTGAGAAAAAATGAAATACGCGCTGTCGGTGGTAGAAGACCAGTCTATGACCTCTTCCAATTGCCCTCCCCTGTCAAACGAATCTTCGACAAGTTTCCCCTAAAGACATACCCAGCCAATGATTTACCGCGCCGGTCACCACCAATTGGTCACTTTGATACGTTGCACATCTTCACAACTCAGGAGGGAGCACTCCAGCATGCGCCATCATTTAATCCAGCATGTCTGAAGTGGCAGGTACAGAAACAGCTCTAGTTTTGAACCTTCGCCGGCTGACTCTTGCAGGCATATCTTAGGTTCAGTGAAATCGAGTTCAAAACAATCTCATCGAACAACCATGCCTCTCCAACCGGAGTCTTGCCTTTCCTAACTCCGAAGAGCTCCTCTCCGTCCGCTTCATCCTCTCAACCGATTTCGTCGAACAAGATCCTGAAGTGGGTTAGTTCGAGGAGCGACATAGTACCAGAGAGAGTCTCGGGTATGAGATACGAAGCCTACCGCTCCCTGATAGACCATCGAATACGAAGTGCGTGGCTTTTCACCTTATATCTTGACGAACGCAACTCAGAGGTTGTGGCGAAGCAATTATACATCTATCCCATTTCGTCAAATGCGCTTGTCCAATTGAGTTTGTACTATCAACTGAAGCAGGCGGCACGGGACGAGCTTCTTAAGACAGCCTCGTACATCAGGGAAGATGAGGTATACCTAGAAGCTGAGAATGCCTTTGCGGCTATATCAACATTACTGGGCGACGATGTGTACTTCTTCGGTAACGACAGACCAACCCTCTTCGACGCCAATATCTTTGCGTACACCCATCTCTTGCTGGACGAGTCCTTGAATTGGCAGGAAACAAGACTTGCAGATTCTCTCAAGAAGAGAGAAAATCTAGTACAACACAGGCAACGGATTTTGACAGGTTACTTCGATCGACACAATGCGCTGTAAATCTCGCGCCACCTCAACCAGATTGGTGGTCAACTTTCCGAAAGAACATTGCATACCATACCATTACTCCTATCCACTTCTTTGCCCTAGCACCAAGCGCAGCACTGCCAGCCTCGTCCACGCCTCGTTCGAGAACATCGCCTTCAAGCGCAAAGCCTTGCTTCTTTGCCTCTGTGACAACATCTTCAACGCTGTGCGCATAGCTCTGCGGTCGGATCTTTTCGCCAGACTTAGGATCTAAAAATCCAGCTTGGCTGATATTTCCCATATCGGAATGCATGTTGGTAACGAGCAAGACTCCGTCGGGCTTCAGTATCTGGAAAGCGGTCTTGAAGAAGGCTTCCGTTGGCACGTGTTCAAGTACAAGAGTTGAAATGATCGCGTCTGTTTCCATGGCGCAATCTGGGGGATGTCGTTGCTCAACCATATCGAAAAGTTTAAGCTCAATGCTTCGACATCGGTCGCTCTTATGTAGCTGCTCAAGTTCCTTCTCGACACGTGCATGAGCGACCTCCATCATTTTCGGGCTAAGCTCGAGGCCGATAATGCTTGTGTCAGGAATTTTCAAGAGTGACAGCGTATTTCGACCTGTTCCACATCCAAGGTCTACAATCTTCCACGGCTTAGGTGGTCGAATTTGACGGAGGAAATTGGGTAAAAGAGAACTCATCTCAATGGTATCGAGAGCTTGAAGGAAATTTCCATCAGTGTCATACACCTGAGACCAGAGGTCATAGGCAGAGGCGGTGTCCATGTATCGGATTTGTGATGGGCCTTTGGACATAGTATCCGTTGGAGGATTCAGAGAAGACATCGTCGCTATGGCAGAGGATGCTAGAAGACGCTAAGAGAGAATCACGCAGAAGTTTGAGATAATTGTAGAAGACTGGATGATCTGCAGCTGTTGTAGTTCAATTTCGAGTGCTCTTTGGTGGCGATCAGATACGAATGCCTACCAATACCCCATAAGAATCTTCTGAGAAGTGTTCATCTGAAAGGTATAATCTTGCAATATTCGAAAAGTCTGTTCCTGGAGAAGTCCTACCTAAGAAATTGGATCAACATATACAAGTTGAGCCAAGGTCACAATGAGTCAGACAAGCAACGCTAATCTGAGCTGTTCCACGCTCCTACTTAACGTTAAAGGGATGACTCCGATTTACGAACGTGCAGTGTCATCTGTCTCCCCGATGCCATTCTTTTCACACCCCACAACAGACCCTATACATCATACATGCGAACATTTAGCCAGATTGGCTGATCTGTCCTACGATTACTCACATCTCAAATTGTCCAGTGATGCCGATTTGACAGCTTTTACCAATTTAGATATCTTTTAGGAGACTCTGGGCGTTTGTCTCGTTGAATTGGTTGTTTGAGCTCTCTCAAAAAGTTGCAAGAGGACTGGTTACCTCATGTGGCGAAACCCCGCATTCTCGGAGCCCCTCCCTTCTGTGCCTTGAAGGTGTGGACGCTTCTGGTCTCCAGTACGAAGGACTTTCGATATCTAGGATGAGAATCAGTACATGCTTGGCTGCAATCCTTTAGCATAGTTCAAGAGTACTCGCTATTCAACAATTTTTGATCAAATACAAAGGTTTGTATAAATCGGATTTTACTGAGAGATTTCGAAATTTTGGGCAATAGATGAGCGTGGCGATTAATACCCTGTTATGATATACAAGTGGTGAATACGATCTCTAGGTGGCTGACAGACGATTGAAGGACGCTTTCTGTGAAGACGAACCCTACATGTACTTACATACTTGCGTGTCTTTATCACAAGAAGGTGTATTTCAACTCCGTCCTCATGGCTATGCTGATGTTTGGCAATCGTCTTGGCTTTCTCGACCTTCCATCAAGAATTTCGGCACCAAAATCATAATGCCCCTCCCATAAACGGTCCTCCACTTTCTCGCAGGTCCTCCACGAGATCATCGACATTCCCCAAATACTTTCCCAGCATCTTCTGCTTCTCCTCTGTATTCCTCGTCTGACTTGATTCACTATTTGCCTTGTCCACCCCACCGATAGTCTCTCGTCGGTTCCTCTCAAATGCGGCAACCAGTTCCCGGCCTCTGCCTCCCAACACTGCGGTATTTGAGGCGCTTGCTGACATCTGAGGTTGCACTTGTGGTGTCTCGGGCATTAGATAGAAATACAAGAATTCGACAAGTTTCATTTTTACTTCTCGTGCTGTTGATCGTGATTTGAAGAGCGCGGTGATGACTAACAAGCCGTCGAGGGACTCGAATGTGCGGGTATTGCCAGGCTGGCCAAGCAGAGTCGATACGAGGGTCAGGAGAGTGGAAGACTGAATTGCAGGACAATTACATGGGTCTAGCAGGTCAAGCAGCAACTGCAATCTTGTCAGCATTGGTTCACGATCTCGATTACAGGAGAACAAACATTCATGTGGATCTCTCTGGCGAAGAGTTCTCGGCTTGGTGTATGCAGCAGCAGCACTCCCTGCAGCAGCTGTAATGTAGATATGATTAAGAGATCATTCTGTCCGTTACTTCCTTTGCCCATCAATCGCTCCAGGCAGGAGATCAGTCTTATAGCGACGTTGCACTGAAATGACTGCTGCAACTTGAAGAACTCTCTAAAGGCAGGATCATCTCTCAGGTTGGCCAGCTTCTTGGAAGGGGGCGATGCTTGTTGACCCTGTGAAATCATCGAATGACGTTTATTGGCTGGCGGTGATCGTGAGAGACATATCTGCGCAAGTAATCCTTCGACCTGCCGAAGACCTTTGCGAATTTTTTGGGGTGATGATGACGATAGGTAATCAAAAGAACGAGATAGTAAGACCTCCATGATATGTGGCAGCTTCAGGAACAATTGTGGTCACAAGAGCGTTCAACGAGTAATCAAAAAGCACTGGATTTTGAGTGAAACAGCTAAGAATGGAAAAATGTAAACATCAGACCCTGATCTTGTTGGCTGGCCTCCCAATTATGAAGCTTGGCGTTTCAAAAACATCGCATTTGAACACCCATCCTGTTGTCCAACTTTTGCAACTGAGTCTTCCCGACTATCAAAGCTTGCTTTGAAATGCATCATGAAATACTAATAGGTATGCTGCAACATCTCCTTCAGGAACACTATCCGTCTCCAGGGTAGGAAGTGCAAACTGTACTTCACATCATTCTGAGCATTATTGGCAAAGTACTAGGCTTGACTGTAGGACCCAGTATCCCTTGTGACCCCGAATAACCCCTGTCGTGGTCCTCCTGCCGTTGGGGGCTTAGCGTTAAGAGGTACCCGCGTTTAGCGGTGAGGTTATTTCTGCAGCCTTGGCATTAGGAACATCAAAATTATGGGAGTATGCTGCAGCCTTGGCGTTAAGAACATCAAAATTCGTTGAGACCTGGCTGCAGCCTTGGCGTTAAGAACATCAAAATTCGTTGAGACCTGGCTGCAGCCTTGGCGTTAAGAACATCAAAATTCGTTGAGACCTGGCTGCAGCCTTGGCGTTAAGAACATCAAAATTCGTTGAGACCTGGCTGCAGCCTTGGCGTTAAGAACATCAAAATTCGTTGAGACCTGGCTGCAGCCTTGGCGTTAAGAACATCAAAATTCGTTGAGACCTGGCTGCAGCCTTGGCGTTAAGAACATCAAAATTCGTTGAGACCTGGCTGCAGCCTTGGCGTTAAGAACATCAAAATTCGTTGAGACCTGGCTGCAGCCTTGGCGTTAAGAACATCAAAATTCGTTGAGACCTGGCTGCAGCCTTGGCGTTAAGAACATCAAAAGTGAATTATAAGAGTAAAACTTTAATTAGCTGCATCAGGCTAGTTAAGAGAGTTATAAGTCTATAAATAGTATCATTTAATAGCTCTTAAAAGGTTCTATCTGACTATAAAGTTTAAATTTTAATAACTATAATATTAAGCCTTAAACAAAAATAAAAAGAAAGAAATCTTA